CCCTGGTCTGATCACTACGTATTGTATACGTATATTGATATATCATACTGTACCCCATAAATATGTACAATTAATATGTGTCAATTAAAATATTAAAAATAGATTTACTGATATTTTGGGAAAGTACCATCACTTTAATTTTTATCAAACTGATTGAACAAAAGTATGCAATTACAGGGATCAGTGTCATTCGAGGATGTGGCTGTGGACTTCACCCAGGAAGAATGGAATCGACTGGACCCTACTCAGAGGACCCTATACAGAGATGTGATGCTAGAGAATTATAGCCATCTTGTTTCTCTGGGTGAGGATGGCTTCCCTTAGTAATCACAGTGTCCCTAGCAGAATAACTTTCCATCTCTGAATGAAGTACTTCAATTCTTTGAACTCAAGTGGTAGGGGTTAAAGGTTCTTATTCCCTTTAAACTGATCAAGGCGTTTGTATTTTCATCTTCCATGTGAAATTTACCCTCATTAAAATGTACCTTCCTAATTTTTTGAAGCCCTGAAAGCCACACAGAGGCTCCCAAATCTTGTATCATTTCCCATTACAGGGTATCCTATTACCAAACCAGATGTGATTGCCTCTTTGGAGAATGGAGTTCTTGAGATCATAAAGAGAGAAATCCCAAGTTCAAGTTGTACAGGTAAGAAGTGAGAGATAAGATATTGTGAGATAATACTCTTTAGGATCTCTGAATGCTGACCATTTTTGAATGCTCTGAAATATCTTCCTAAAGAATATACACTATTGTTGCTTATTCCATATTATTAGTTTTGTGAGATATTGTCTCAAAATAATCTTGGAATAAGATGGCAAGGAGCTGGATTATACTCTAGCTTAGTCCTTCTGCTTCTCTCAATAACCTCAATTGTTTTTAGCCTTTCTGAAAAGTCCTTTGCAATTAGAGTCTTTTTCCCCCCAAATCCTGGATCTGCTACCTTCCAATATCCATTTTCCTATTCATGACTCCCTAGCCTATTTTTACATTCTCTTCCCATTTTAAGCTATTTTCTTAAACAATCTTGTCACTTATTGTTACTTCTGTCTCAATGTCTATTGAATCAACTTGTTTTTCTTTTTTTTTTTTTTTACTCCTTGAGCTCTGAGTGTAGCACAGACATATACTTGGAATTTCTTTCTGACTGGTATATAGACTTAAAAGAAATTAAAATTCAACCCTATCAGAGGCCTGCATCTTTCAAAGGTGTATTCACAGAGTATGGTTTATTATTCTTTCTAGAAGATGAACAAGCTGAAGACCAGCTGGAGAACCACCAGGAAAACCAAAACAGACACCTGAGGCAAGCTATATCCATTGATGAGAAAAATGTGTCTAAGGAAAGAGCTCATGAATTTGATGGCTTTGTAAACCCACTTCCTCAGAGCACATGGGTAGTTTCTTCAGGACACACACCCTATATAAATGACTCATATGGGAAAAGTTTTAAAGATAATTTTGGCTTACTCAGTCCTAATAGTCTGAGCTTGACAGCTCAGAAATGTTATGAATGTAATCGATGTGGGAAATTATTAATTCATGGCAGGCATGAAAAAAATAATGGAATGATACCCCTTGACTATAATACATATGAGAAAGGTCATAGTCTTAACTTTGTTCAGCATAATCTGACTCAAGTTGCAGAACCAACCTATGAATGTCCTGAGTGTAGAATACCCCTCAGCACGAATTCACTCCTTATTGTTCATCAGATCACTCACATAGGAGAGAAACCTTATGAATATACAGAATGCAGAGAGGTATTCAACAAGACTGCACGCCTCAGTATACATCAGACCATGCACACAGGAGACAAACTTTTTGAGTGTAATGAATGTGGCAAATCCTTCAGAGAGGAATCAACCCTGCATATACATCAAAGAACTCATACAGGTGAAAAACCGTATGTATGCACTGAGTGTGGCAAAGCTTTCCAAGAAAAGACAAAGCTCATCATACATCGACGAACTCACAAAGGAGAGAAACCCTATAAATGTTCAGAATGTGAAAAAACCTTCAACCAGAAGGCGCACCTCAGTGTTCATCAGAGAACACACACAGGAGAGAAACCCTTTGAATGCAGTGATTGTGGCAAATACTTCAGAGAGAAATCAACACTGAATATACATCAAAGAACTCATACAGGAGAGAAGCCGTATTTATGCAATGAGTGTGGCAAAGCCTTCCGAGAGAAGACGAAACTCATCATACATCAGAGAACTCACACAGGAGAGAAACCCTATGAATGTTTAGAATGTGGGAGAGCCTTCAATCAAAAGGCACACCTCAGTGTACATCAGAGGACACACACAGGTGAGAAACCTTTTGAATGTAATGAATGTGGCAAATCTTTCAGAGAGAAATCAACACTGCGTAGACATCAAAGAATCCATACAGGAGAGAAACCTTATGTGTGTTCAGACTGTGGAAGAGCATTCACCCTTAAGCTGAGCCTCAGTGCTCATCAGAGAATTCATACAGGAGAAAAAACTGATGGATGTACTGTATGTGGAAAAGTCTTCTCCCGCAAGTCATATCTTATGCTACATCAGAGAGCTCATACAGGAGAAAAATTTGAGAAATCCTATGAATGCAATGAATGTGATAAAGCATTCTTCCAGAAATCATATCTCATTATTCACCAGAGAGTTCACACAGGGGAGAAACCCTACGAGTGTAATGTATGTGAGAAAGCTTTCTCCCAAAAATCATATCTCATTATACATCAACGAACTCATACAGGAGAGAAACCCTATAAATGTGATAAGTGTAATAGAGCCTTCAGAGAAAAGTCTAAACTCACTGTACATCAGAGAACTCACATAGGAGAGAAGCCCTATGACTGTCCTGAATATGAGAGAAACCTTCTAGAAGTCAAAGATCAGCAAGGATTAGAGAACTCTGAGAGAGGAGAGACCAAAGAACTGAAAATGGAAAATCCTTTGTAGGAAAGTCAAAGAAAAAGTGAGGTGGGGGAATCCTGCTTTAGGGTGATCAGGGATGGCTTTTCTGAGGACATGACATTTGATCTTAGATCTGAAAACAAAGCACCAGCCATACTGGGGGAAGAGCATTCCAGGCAGAAGAAATAGCAAGGGCCAAGGTCCTGAAGCAAAAACTGGGCCTTTCATGATTATATCATGGATGTATATTGAATGACTTTACACCAAAAAGGTTGTTCAACATTAAAATCTTTTGAAGCTTTGAATCTATGAGAGATGTCATTAGGAAGCCAAACCTCACCATAAATCTGGGCAAAGATATCAAGGGAAGCCCAATTTAATTAATTTCAATAATCATAGTCCCTTGGAAATGAAATAAGGGAAACATGTTTCCAAATTTAATATCCAACTCTCACAAAAAATTAAGAAAAGCTATTATTAAGAACACTCAATTTGTCATCTTTCATCATGGGTAATAAAAGCTATCTCCAAGAAAAACAGAGTTCACCAAATGATATGAAATTACATAATTAAAGATAACCACAAAAGGAAAAACAATGAAGAATATACTATAAATGTTCAGATATTAGAAAGGACATTTAAGCAGAACAATGTAAAGAAAACAACACTACAGCATCAAATCCAGTTTCCAAAAGTAGCAACAGTTGATAATGCTTGCATTTTCACCACAGCCTGTTGGGTAAGATTTTTGGCTATGTTTCTCTGTGTGGATCTTCCTCTTCTCTGAGACTCATCCTACAGCCTTCCCGAAAAGACTATAAGCTGCACGACAGGTTTTTAGAAGATCCGTTTTTGACTCAAATTCACCGGCGTTTATTTCTGCTGCTTTTGATGAATAACTATCACATTCAGAAGTCAGTACCCAGAGTAAAAGCACCTTTTATGGACACCCAGGGAAATGTGAACTTTGGTTATCTATGTTGTTTGGGGCTGAGCACAGGGGAAATCCTTTAAAGGAAGGGAGCTTGAGTTTTCTTTGGCATGCAGTGGGCACTAGCTATTTCAATGATCATCTGCTCTGGATGTAATGAATATTGAAAGCAAGGCTTTGAGTAGTTGAGAATCCACCCTCAACCAAAGAATACAAAGGAAATGATTAACTGCTTCTTCGTGGGAGTGGGTGCTTCCAGTGGGGCTGGCCAATGAAAAGAAAAGAATGGTAAGTTCAAATTCCTAAATGCTCTGCTGAAGACACAGACTGAACCCTGGGCATTGTGTAAAAAGAAATTATTACCTGTGCATTCATTGAATTCCTTCTTAAATTCCCAGTGTGTCATTTGCAATTTAGGTTTTGATTTTGAAAGAGATGATGGGGGGCTGAGAATTAGAATGATGACATGTGGGAGAATGTGAATATTTTAAACTCCCAGTTCCCACTGAGCTTCCTGTGTAAACTGAGTTTAATCCCATTCTCCTCTGATGAGACTGTATCTGTCGAAAATAAAGACCCTGTAGTGACCTCAACTGAGACTGATACTTCTTCGGGGAAGCCAACTTTCATATACTTCCATCCTGGCTCTATCTCTATACCTGTAATTGTCTTTTTAAAAATATTTATTTTTTTTAGTTGTAGTTGGACACAATACCTTTATTTATTTACTTTTTATGTGGTGCTGAAGATCGAACCCAGGGCCTCGCATGTGCTAGGTGAGCTCTCTACTGCTGAGCCACAACCACAGTCCCTGTAACTGTCTTTTGCACCAAGCACTTTATATGCTTTACATATGTTAATTCACTTAATCCTCCCAATAACCTCATAGGGTCACTAATATCATTATCATCCTCATTTTCCAGATCAGAAGACTGAGGCACAGAGAAATTAAGTGCCTCATTTAAGGCAATACATCCAGTAAGTGGTAGAGATGGTATTTGATTCAAGGAGAACCTATGCTCTTAATCACTACACTATCCTTTCTCCTACCCCAAGTCATCTGGTGTCTCTTGATTACAGTTGTGAAGATATGGGGGAAGTGACTGAAAGGTGGTACCTTCAGGGATTGGAAAAATGAAGAATCAGGCAAAGGCTTTTGCACTGCTTGTAGATATCATCTTTATTAAATCCACAAAAGAAAAAAAAAAAGACAGGAAAGGATAATCTCTATCCCTGTGAATTCCAGTCATGATTCAGGTTTCCTTGGGTTCTCTTTTACATATATTTCACACCCCTTGAGCCATTCAGATAAATCATGGCCAGAGCAATGCCGGGTCCAAGAATCCCTGGGAGATGAAGGGAGGGAGGAAGGATGAAGTGGATAACTTGATGAGGCAATACCCCTATCTCTGGCTGTCCAGGGTTCAGACCATCCCATGAACTTACCAGGCCTTCATACTTCCTGGTGCATTCACAACCCGCTTGGCACACAAGATGTCATCCAGAATATGGCACTTGAGCAGGTCTAGGGGGTGAGAGAGGAACATGATGATCTGGTGCACTTGGCAGAGGGTGACAGCATATGGAGGGCCCAGGGTTTCTGGATTCCTTGGGGCCTGAATTACATCAACCACTACATTGGCTGATTGTGGATGACCTCCACTCTTTTGTTAGCTGGTTATAAATTACCTCAAGTGCCCTGTTGACTGGTTCTGTACAACCTTAACTCTGGTTGGCTTTAAGTATCACATTGGCAGGTTATGAGTAACCTCAGTCACCATTATTGGCTCATCCCAGACTCCCTCAAATTCCATGTTGGTCAAGTCTGGATGACTTCAGCTGTCATTATATTGAGTTAACAATGTTCTCAACTGTAATACTGGCTGGTCTAGCATCACCTGAACCAGCTGATTGGGAAGATAATTAACTGTCATATTGGTCATTCCTAGTGACTTCAAACAGTATGTTTTCAGGTCCTAGATACATCCAATTCCTATTTTGACTGGTTATGAATGACCCCCACCTCCATACTGGCTAATTCTGTTCAACCACAGCCACCATAGTACCTTGTCCTAGATAATCTCAACTTCCATATTGGCTGGACCAGTATGACTTTTAACTGTCATTTAGCTAGTTGCTAATGATCTCAACTGCCACGTTGACCATCCTAAACAATCTCAACTACCATTTTGACTAGTTATAAATAACTTCAACCTCTCTTTTAGTTATCCTAGATTATTGCAATTTCCATGTTGTCACACTGAGCAGCCTTAACCTTAATTTTATTCAGCTTTGAAAAATTTCATTATTCATTTACTCTTAGACAACCTCAAGTTCTATGGTGGCCAGTCCTGGACAATCTCAACCTTCAATCTGGCCAATCATCGGTGACCTCTTCTGCTATGTTGACAGGACTTACACAATCTAAACCTCCATTTGGGTTGGCTCCAAATAAGTTAGTCTCCATTTTGGCCTGTCTTGGACAACCTCATCCATCATTCAGGACAATCCTCAAACAACTTCATTGCTATTCTATTTTGTCTTGACCATCACAACACTCTCATCTGGAAAGTTCTCTCATTTCTATACATAGGTAGTTTTTTTTTTTTTTTTGCAGTGCTGGGGATTGAACTCAGGACCTTGTACATGTGAGGCAACCACTCTACCAACTGAGCTACTTCCCCAGCCCTGGTAGTTTGTTTTTGTTCCTACTTCCAATCATCTGCTTCTTCCCTTGGGGCCTATACAACCTCAACTCCAAATCAGAACAGTCTCCCCATCTATTTCACATGACACTGAATTGTCTGTTTCCTGAGTCTCAAAAAACTATAGCCTCCACTCTGGGTCAGATTCAAGGGCTCTGCATTCTCTAGACCTAGGCAACATGTCATTGTAGTCTGGTTAAGGATTTAGGATGGTGTCTCAAACAACACAGGCAACTTTCTTCCTTTCCCCATAATTTTTCTACATTTGTAGGAGATTACAGTTTAGATAATCTTGCCTTTTTGTGTGTGGCATGTAGGGCCAGGCACTAGGGATCTTGTATTCATACTTTTGCCTTACCACGACAATCCATATGGCAGAGGTTCTGGGTGGGTGTGACACCATTGTCACACCACCAGGCGGAGTTCAGCTGGAAAATGCCATATTCACTACTGCCATCGGGATTGTGATCCACGAAAGAGGTGTCAAAGCCGCTCTCGTAGTGTGCCATGCACAACCCTGGGACAGAGAGAGAAAGAGAGAGATAAGAAGTAGGAGGCAGACATAGGGTCCAGGAATAAGAATGGCTAGGATAGGTGTGACAATGGGGATGATAATCATCTTAGTTGTGAGACTGATGATCTTGGTTTGGTGGTGGGGTGTTGATGCTGATGATTCTGGGTGAGATATCAGTGATGGTGGTAGTGATGGTATTTATGGTGATAACAGTGGTGATGATATGGTCAGTAATAATGGTGTTGATGGTAGAGACAGAGTTGATGACATTAGAGTTGAGTTAAACCACTCATCACAGTTAGAAAGTAACCAGGGGTCAGGCCCTGACCCAGAGAGGTGAAAAATGACAAGAGAAGCCTGGGTCTGAGTGTGGTTAATGGCTTGGGGTATGGAAGGGACTTGGGGCAAATAGAGTCTCACAGTCTCCAATTTGGTAGCCTCTGTAGCCATCAAGGCCTGCCTTCTCCAGCTTCTTTGCCAGCTCACAACGTTCATAAATCTTGGCATCCACACTGGCAATGATCAGTGTGGCCCAGATCACTAGCACAGTGCCCCAAGCCAACATTATGACACCCGCAAGCCCTTGTAGCTGATGCCTTGCTCCAGATTCACCCTGCGGTGTTCAGAACTAGGGGCATTCTGGAACTCTGAGCTCTATGAGCACTGACTGGTCTAAGTGATATATTCTGGAACATAGAAGCTAGAGGTCTGGGCACCTCACTACTTTCCCCAATGCCAATTCTCCTAGAGACCAAGAGACACACAAAGAAAAATAAAGATACTGACAGAGATGGAAGGAAACAAAAAGACAGAGAAACCCAGTGGTGTCAGAAAGATGCAGGGAGAGAAGGGTTGGCAACACACCAAATACAGACAGTCTAACTTGAATACTAAGCCTCACACTGGACCCACATTCCCCTAAATTTCTTAATGCTGTGCCACTCTACTCTCAACACCTATGTATTAGAACTTGGTTACCTCCATTTCCATTCACTCTAGTCCCATTCACCACTATTTCCCAGTCTGCTGACTGATCAGTGGTATTCATCACGTTGTACCTATTACCACCTCTGATTTCTCATCCTCTATAGAATATGACCATCATGCTCTGCCCCCATTACCTCCATTTACTCATTGTCTTAGTCTGTTTGTGCTGCTATAACATAATACTTAAGACTGGAGAATTTAAAAAGAATAGAAATTCACAATTCTGTCAGCTGGGAAATTCTAAGATCAAGGCAATGATATTTTGTGACGGTTTTCTTGCTGTAGTCTCCAGAAAGAGTTCCTGAAAGCCCTTTTCAGAGCTGCATTAATTCATTCATGAGGGCAAAGCCCTTATGACCTAAACACCTCCTCAAATGACCTCCTTTCCAACACTGTTGCATTGGGGATTAAGTTTCTAACACCTGAATTTTGGAGGGGACACATTCAAACCATAACACTCATCCTTGGCACTTCCTATACCTCTCTGTATTCACTGTGTGGTTCTATCTTAATTTACTAGAATCTTCTCCAATTATAATCACACTCTGTCCCACATCACATATTACAAATGATATCTTACACACACATACTCACATTCAACTGTTTTTTCACCTTCATTCTTGGTCTATCTTTTATTTCCCAGTTCACTTATACTCTCATCTAATTATGTTCATTCACACTGGGCTTCCTTTTACCACAGTTCCCTGACCCATTTATTTATCATTGTCCAAGTGTTCTCAAATCACATTCTTTCTTCACCTCCATTCACTCTCACTCAGATTAATTTCCTATTTTCACCTCTACTTCCTGGCACTGCACCAACTGACTCCTGTTCACTTTGGTGCCCCATCCTTCAGCTTTGTTCATTGACTCCCGGCCTCATTATCTCCTCAGTCCCTTTCTGCCCTTTCTTTACCTGTATTCTCCAAGATGCTGCCCCCATTGGCCCCCTTTCCTGGAACTCTGTGATGTATTACTCCCAAACACTAGCTCATGTTACCCATATGAACTCACTCTATGCTCAGTCATCTCCATTGTTTTTCAATTTCCTCTTCATTAGCTCCCCTTACTTTCATTTTTCCTAAATGCCTCATTCATTTAAATTCACTTCCAATGTAACCCCTATTACCCTCTTCTCACTTCTGCTCCTGATTTATGTCTAGTTGCTCCTTCTCTGCCTCAGTAACCCTATTCAGTCATACTTTGCCTTGAATTCACCACTTTTTGCCCATATTGGGCCTGATGTTACACTGATTACTTACCCTGGGTGGACCATGTGACTTTTATCTCCTCTTCTTTTTTAAAGAAATTTTTTTTAGTTGCAGATGGACACAATACCTTTATTATTTATTTATTTATTTTTATGTGGTGCTGAGGATTGAACCCAGTGCCTCATATATGCTAGGCGAGCACTCTACCACTGAGCCATAACCCCGGCCCTTATCTCCTCTCTTTTTGCCTCACAATATCCACATTTACTTACCTTCTGCTCTTTACTTCCAATCCTTCTCATTCTGCCCACCATTCATGTATATTCACATCTGTTGATTCACACTGGGATCCAGGTATACACATTGACTAGGTCACTACTCTGTATTACCCCTATCCAATTTCAGCCTACCCCACTCACCTCTAGTCACTTTCCTTCTCCCTTATAGTATCTCTGGACTCTAATCACTCTTGTTTTTTCCATTTGTGCATCCCACTCTTCTCTCTGAGTTCCACATTACCCCAATTCTCTCCTACTTTCCCTCTAAATTCACCTCTCCAATCATATTGTGTCTCATAAACCATTAGTCACACTCTAATCCTTAGCATTTCTATCAATTCTATTCGCATTTACCAACTTTCTTTGCCCCATTCACTCAGTCTACATCCACGATTACCTTTCTTTAATTAGATTGTGTTTCACTTTTTCATCACATATTCAGTCTCATCCATAATATCAATGTAATTCAAAATCTAGTGCATGGTCATTTCTTTACTCTGCCCATGCACATCTCTCCTCATGCTCTCTTCTCTGCTGCTCATTCACTTTTATTCCATTACACTTTGCCTCTCTCCTTGACCCAATTCACTCCCAATTTGACTTTCATTCGCCATTATTCATATTGGTTCACCAGTGCCATGTATCCTGTTTACTGACTCACGTTGGCTGAACAGAAAAGTCTGATATATTGTTCAGGATTAGGTTTGGCCGCACGAATCAACACCACTAAAAATGTCCTTGACTTCAAGAGGAGGTAAGGGGATTACTTTCTTGGAGGAAAGGCAGTTCAATGCTAATATGTTGACTTCAATGTCACCAGAGACTTGACTCCTTCTGTGCTATTTTTCTGCCAACTTCACTGCTTCCTTTTGGTCCTAAACAACTATTAAAAATTGGCAATAGCAGGCTGTAGCTGTAGCTCAGAGGCAGAGTGCATGCCTAGCATATGTGAGGTAGTGGGTTCGAGCCTTAGCACCACATAAACAAATAAAATAAAGGTATTCTGTCCATCTACAACTACAAAAAATTTTTAAAAATTGGCAACACTTTCATGGTTTTGATAAGATATATCTTAAGAGCTCAACAGCCAGGTGGGGGGCCTTTCCCCTTGTCTTTGGGTGAGGGTGCCACACCATACAGAGCCTGTAGTGGGACCACTTACCTGTCAATCTCCCATACCCTTTCACTTGGCCACCTGCTGCCTAGACTACTGTATGAGGAGGTTGCACCTGTAGGGACTGATGGTAGAGGATGCCCTGAATAGAGAGTGGGAGTTCTGGCTCTGCAGCAGGATATCTGGCCTCACATAGCTTATGGATGTGTACTGTGGACCTTGGGAAAGTTTCTGAGGGGCAATATCACTGGCTCATAAACATTTCTGGAGCCCACAATCAGCATATCTCAATTTCCACCAACCCCAAAGGATTTCCTTGCTTGCATTGATGTGTGTGTGTGTGTGTGTGTGTGTGTGTGTATACACTCTCATGAGTGCAAGGTGGTAAGGGATAAAAGTGCAAGGCTGAAAGAGACCAAACTATGATGATCCTAAAGGTTCAGCCCTTCCTATTTTCCAGCCCTGAATGTGTTAAAGAGTGGACAATGTTTATACTGGAGGTGCTGATACTTCAGAGAACAAGAAATCTGAGTTTTACTCCTGCTTCCTCTTTGCCTTGTTTGCTAGGAAGCTTCATTTCCAGGCTGGTTTTACTGAGTGAAGCTCCTCAGATACCTTCTATAAGTTCTGTGAAATATTGAATAAACAAAAGAATAATATTACTAGGTGGAGGTTATAAATCTGACTTTGAGAATTTGTGTGACCTTTGCCTTATCTCACAAGTGGGGGCCATGGGACTGTTGTGATAATTGAGTTCATGTCATGCACGTCACACAGTGCCCACCATGCAAGAGATAATGAGTTAGTCATTTCCTATGCCTATTGCTAGGAGCCTCCTCATTGATCTCACTGTTTCCACCCTTGCTCTTTATAGTCTGCTCACAAAGCAGTTTGCGAATCATCTTATTTTATTTTTTCTTATTAAGAAGTTTATATATATACACATCTGATTTTATTTATATAATAATAATAAACACCGACATAGCACTTGCTATGTGCCAGGTGTTGTTTTAAACCCTTTACAATATCGACTCATTTGTTACTTCAACCCTAATGAGATAGGCACTGTCATTATCCTTATTTTATAGATGAGGACACAGTACAGGGAAGTAAACAGTCGTGCCTTATATCGCACAGCTGGTGGGTGGGGGTTTGAACTCACGGTGTCCACATCATGTTGTTATTTTTTTCCTGGCTTCATTCCCAATATCTAGAACACTATTGGGCACAGAGGAGGTGCTTAGGCATATCCCTGCAGAGGTCACATTCTAATAGGGCAATAAACAAATGAATGAAATATACATGTGTAATTTTAGCCTTAAAATACAAGACTAGATTGCTTAAAAATCTGATCCCTCTTAACAGTTTCCCCATTATCTAGAGAATGAGATTATAAACCCTATTCCTAGCTCCCAACACACTAACGATGCCTCTGCCCATTCAGAGAAAGGAACCTGTCAGTCACTAATACAGCCCATTCTCCAACAGTGTGTGTTTGTTTGCGTCCCACAACACTGTTCATTTTTCAGCTTGTGGTCTGTGTACTTTCCTTTCTTCTTCAAAAGCTAATACGTAAACTCCAGCCCTAGCCACTGGATGGAGCCAGTGGCTTTTCCCTACCCTCTTAGTCTTTGTGTACGCAGAACATTCCGCCCCGTATCCTGCAATTACACCGGCAACACCGTTGCTGACCTTTGAATTCAAGACACAAAATTCCCGACCGCTAGAATCTTTTCCTTAATTGGGCACTTGTCCTCCCCGCCCTTCCATAAGTGTATTGGTGTCTGAAATCTTAGAATGCTTGTTTCCTCCGCAGAACAAAGTAAACACCTCTGCACAGCGAACCTGGAGGAGAGACGCCGTAGGCATAAATATCTCGCCTTGGAACAGTGACGTCACCTGTACAGCCGCCTTTCCTCTGCGCTTGCGCTGTGACCCCAACACCTTCGCGGCCCCATGTTGACTATTGGCAGATGTGGTCTCAAAGGCATTACTGAGCGTGCGCAGAACCGGTCGCTGTAGATTTTATAGGCTACGGTGCCGGAGAGCTGGTTCAGAAGCGGAAGTGCTTGTCGGGGCCAGTTCTTGTAACGGTCTCTTCAACAGCAAGCAGAAAATCAGTTGACGAGAAAGACAGTGAGGTTGAGCGGACGTTTGCTGGGGGTCTTGGGCTAAGTGATGGGGGATTCTGGGGGACGAGTGAAGGGAGGTTTATGAGGGTCATTGATACGGGGGATTATAGGTTGAGTGATGGGGAACCGAGAAGTCAGTGTATGAGGGTCTGGGGGCTCATTGGTGGACAAAGTTATGGGGCTAGTTAGGATAGAGTGGGGCCTATTAAACTTTGACATTTACACATTTTCCAGCATAGTGACCTATACTTAGGGTTCTTGCGTATCCCTCAGGCCCCTCGTTACGTGCGCCCTGCCTCTCCCTCTGTCCCTCTCCCCTCGCCCAATCCCTGAGTAGGGGCCTGGTGTGAAAGTGCCAGGAGAAGTGACCTGCACCTGAAGGCCTCTTTTCGGGTCCTGGGCAAGACTATCCCAGTGAGGTGAGGAGAAGGAAGAAGAGCCACCTGAGAAGACTTACCTAACAGCTGGCCTTCTCCACAGTTTGGGGGCTGGGAGGGGTGGGTGGGGCCTGGTGCTGCAGGATCTGAGGGGACTAGGGGTAAAATGTCATTTGGATAATAGGTAGTTCTAAAGTTCAGTGTTTTTTTTGTGACATTTAATAAATAATACTTTTGAATTACAGATTAATTGGGAAATAGAGGAAAGGAAAAAAAAGAACTGATTTGCCCCCCCCCATCACATTTATGTCCATTCTTAAACATATATGTGTATGCCTTTTTAAACTTTTATAGTTTTAAGATATGTTTCTGCAGTTTTATAATCTATTTTTATTTAGAAATTTATTGTAATTCAGTTTTAGATTTCTTCTATAACATTCTTTTAAACTTTTGAGATATGTCTACCACAACATACACAGAAAAGTGTATACTTCCATATAACATTTTAAACAACTGTGTAGAATTTTGTTGCTAATATTTATTTATTATTCTCTTATGGGTCACATGGGATTGTTTTAAGTTTGGCATTATTAAACTCAATGCCCAGATGAAGTTACTTACAGAGAAATTACACATTATGATAAATTATCTCATTAAGTGAATACAAGTTCTGGGTTGGGGTACAATTTATTATATGTAATAAAAGCCTTTGTGCTCAATGTTCACACAAAAAGTCAAAAATATACTGGTCATTATTAAAACCATATACTCTTCCACAGAGCAGCTTCATTGCTAGCTTATGTGAGGGGATTTCTAGGAGGATAATTCTGCTACTCCAAGCCTAATGGGGTCCTCATATGCTCTACCCTTCTCTACTTGTTCCAGCTCAATTTTCACATATCTCTGCCTTTTCCCAAGAACAGCAGGAAATGGCCAAACCCCAGGTAAGTATGTTATCTGTTTGTTCCTTTCTCTTTTTAACCATAGATGTGATGAGATTTATAGGAATCTTTACCATGAAATAGAAACTTATTTGTGAATGAGGACTAGGATCAGGGAAAATGAGAGACAGAAGATCAAGGCTAATTAGAATGTACATACTTGGAGGACTTCAGGGTAACAGATACAGACATGTTCCTTGACTTGTGATGGGGTTACATCCTGATAAACTCATAATAAAGCTGAAAATTCATTTAATACTTCTAATCTACTCAGCGTCATAGCTTGGCAACATGGTACACTGTGGAGTATTCGTTGCTTCCCCTTTTGATCACATGACTGGGAGTTATGGCTCACTGCTGCTGCTAAGCATCAGAAGAGAATATTATTTTACATATTGTTAGCCCAGGAAATTATTAAAATTAAAAATTCTAAGTATGGTTTCTACTGATTATGTATTGATTTAGCATCACTGTAAAGTTGAAAAATCATAAGTCAGACCATGTTTAGTCAGGGGCCATCTGTATTAATGTTGAGCTGCTGGTTTCTCTTTGAGTCTTCAGGCAGCCAAAGGGAAATATAACTAGTTCCTTGACTCACCTTATTCATCAGGAGAGAGCATAGAAAGGCCTCAGGAGAAGCCAGGGTTTCCTGGAGTTGCTTTTCAGGGCATTTTTTGGTTCAGTTGTCATGTGGAATTATCTTTAACCACAACTTGGTGATAAATAACGTTCCTGATTTCCTGTAGATATTTCCCATTTCTAAGTGAGCTGGAGATATGGTCATATTATAAATTAGGAATGAAATCTCTTAAGGAACCTGCCTGTCTTTCAAATGACTTTCCTGAAGTAATTTTCTCAGTTGGACTTTCAGTTCTCTTTTGGCCAAGACACAAAGTCTACAGATAGCCATAGTCTACCATCTTTTTTCTTTCATTTTTTTATCTTTTAAATTAACTTAAAATTGATTTTGCATTTGTGTCAGTTGATAAGTGTTAATACGTGCAGATTGGTGTAACTAATCTACAGGTTCTAGTTTCTTCACCACAAAAACTGCCTCATGCTACTTATTTATAGTCATATCCTCCCCCTGCCTATAACCTTAGCCAACCACAGATCCATTCTGTGTCACTATAGTTTTGTCTTTTCAAGAGTGTCATTTAAATGGGGCCATATGCTCTGTAACCTTTCTTTCTTTCCTTTTTTTTTTTTGAGGTGGATACCACTATATTGTCCAGGCTGGTCTTGAACACCTAAAATCAAATGATTGTCTTCCATCATCTTCTGGATTAGCTGGGATGAAAGTTGTATGCCACCATGCCCAGCTTAGTGCAACCTTTTTTTAAAAATTAAACTTTTCATTTTGAGGTGATTTATTTACATATAATTTGAAGAATAATATAGATAGGTCCCGTGTACCTTTTCCCATTTTCCCCAATGACAACATATTTCAAAACAAGTCTAATATCACAATCAGGATATTATATTAATATGATTAGGCATGGGCTGGGGTTGTGGTTTAGTGGCAGAGCACTTGCCTAGCATGTGGGAGGCACTGGGTTCGATCCTCAGCACCACATAAAAATAAATAAAATAAAGGTTTATCAACAGCTAAAAAAAATTTTAAAAATATGATCAGGCACAGAATAGTTCATTACTTCAAGGCTCCCTCAAGGCTACATTCACACCCATTCTTAATCTCTTAATCTTAATCTTAATCATTCTTAATCTCCTGGCAACTACTAGTATGTTTTCTATTTCAGAAGCTTTGTTATTTCAAGAACATGATTTAAATGGAATCATACAAGCCAGGTGCAGTGGCTTATTCCTGTAATTCCAGCAACTTGGCAGCTGAGGCAGGAGAATTGTGAGATTGAGGCCAAAGTCAATTTAGCAAGACCCTCAGCAACTTACTGAGACCCAGTCTCAAAATAAAAAAAAAAAAATGAAAAAGACTGGGGATGTAGCTCAGTGGTAAAACTTCCTTGGGTTCTATCCCCAGTAACATAAAAAGAAAGAAAAAGAATTAAATGGAATCATATAGTACATAATATTTTGGGATTGGACTTTTTTTTTTTCACTCAACACAGTTCTCTGGAGATTCACCCAAATTGTTGTGTGTGTTATTAATTGTTCTTTTTTTTTATTATTGCTGAATTCATGGTATAGATGTTCTATGGCTTACTTATCTGTTCATCTTTTGAAATACATTTGGACTATTTCCAGATTGGGGCAGTTATAAGTAGAGCTACTTAAACATTCAGATTTTGTGTAAACATGTTTTCATTTCTCTAGAGTAAATATGAATTGCTGGGTCATATAGTAAGTGTATGTTTAGCTTTTGAGAATCTGCCAAAGGGGTTTCTGGAGCCATTGACCCATTTTTCATTTCCATAAGCAGTATGCAAGAATTTCAGTTGGCACATTTTTGTCAGCAGTTGGTATATTCAGTATTTTAAAAAAGTTTTCATCATTCTAGAAGGCATGTAGTAGTATCTTATTATGGTTTTAATTTGCATTTCCCTAATAGCCAAGTATATTGAACATTTTATATATGCTTATTTACTTTTTTGTATGTCCTCTTTGATAATGTGTTTGTTCAAAAGGTTTTGTCCTTTTGAAAATTGGATTGTTTTCTTACTGTTGAGGTTTGAGAGTTCTTTATATATTCCTTATGCAAGCCCTTTGTCAGTCCCATGGTTTGTAAGTCTTTTCTCCAAATGTGTGGCCTGTCCTTTCAATTCTCTTAAGAGTGTTATTTGCAGAGCAAGATTTTTTTTTTATTTTGAAAGTATCCAGTGTATAAATTATTTATTATATAGAGTGTGCTTTTGGTATCAGATCTAAGAACACTTTTTCCTTACTTGATGTCATGAAGATTTTCTCATATTCTGTAAGTTTACTACTTTTTGGTTTTATATTTTGTTCTATGATCCATTTTGCATTAATATATACCTTTATACTTTATGTATATATATATACACATATGTGTGTATACTTTATATGTCTATACATACACACACATACGTATACACACTTATATATGTATTTATGATTTATCCATTTATCTATTGGCAGATACCTAGGCTAATTCTATTATCTTAGCTATTTTTTAATATTTATTTTTTAAGTTTTAGGTGGACACAATATCTTTATTTTACATTTATGTGGTGCTGAGGATTGAACCCATGCTAGGCGAGTACTCTACCGCTGAGTCACAACTCCAGCCCATATATCTTGGCTACTTTATTGGTTTAAAACTTTTCTCAATGCATGCATTTAATGCTGTAAGATTTTCTCTAAGCAGTGTTTTAACTGTGTCCCACAAAGTTTTGTATATTTTCATTTTTGTTCAATTCAGATTACTTTCAAATTTTCAATAATACTTCCTCTTTGATTATATGTGTTATTTGGAAGAATAATTTAAAAAAAAAATTTTTTAGTTGTAGATGGACACAACATTATTTATTTATTTATTTAATGTGGTGCTGAGGATCAAACCCAATGCCCCACACATGCCAGGTGAGCACTCTACCACTAAGCCACAACCCCAGCCTGGAAGAATGATGTTTAATTTCCAAGTGTGTAGTCTTCCTGTTATCTTTCTGTTACTATATATGTAGTCCTTTGTCCTTAGTTTTTAGCAGTTTGATGATGTGTCTGGTTGTGCATTTTTTGTGGGTTTTTTCTGTTTGGGGATTGCTGAGCCTCTTGAACCTACAGATGCAGGTCTTTGCCAAATATGGAAAGTGGTCAGGAATTTTTTTTTCCAAGTATTTTTCTGAACTTTCCTTTCTCTTCTTCTGGAACTCTAATAACCTAAATTTGGTGTTATCTCACAGGTCTTAGAAGCACTGTTCATTTTTTTCAGTATTTTTGTTTTCCAGATTGGTTAAATTGTATTGATTACTTTGAGGCTTATTCACTCTTTTATCTGTTATCTCCATTGGGCTATTAAGCCCTTTCTAGTAGGAGGTTATTTTGGTTATTATCTTTTTCAGTTTCAAAATTTCCATTTGGTTCTTCTTTAGATCGTCTGTGTTTTTGATGAGACTTTCTAGTTTTCTTGTGGTTCCTAGAAGGTTGGTCTAACTTCTTGGGTTGTGTGTGTGTGTGTGTGTGTATGTATGTTACTGGGGATCAAATCCAGGGCCTCATGCAGGGTAGAAAACTGCTCGACCATTGAGCTATATCCCCAGCCTGGGTGTTTTTTTGTAATAGCTGCTTTAAAGACTTTCTCAAATGATTCCAGCACTTGTATCTGCTTGATGTTGGTATCTGTTGTTTTTTTCTCGTGACTGTTGAGATTTTCTTGTGTACCATGTAATTTTGGAATATGTCCTACATATTTTAATGTGATATTATGAGACACTGGGTTTGTTTAAATCATATGGAGAATGTTGATATTTTGATTTGCCATAGGCAGTTGACCCAGTTGAGTTCAGGCTACAAGTTCTAATCAGTCTTCTGTAGTTTGTGGTTTCCATGTTTGTTTAGTTTTTAAACCTCATAACAGACATTCTGGGATGTAGGCAGTGGTTTGTCCCTTAGTTCAGTTCTCAAAAGTGTTTACTTTTTTGTTTTAGATTAGATCCACAAATGCACAGTTTGAGAATGAGCCCAGGAGTTGATATATGATGTTATGGGGTTTCTTTCCTGAATTCTTCCTCCCCATGATTTCCTGTGAATTTTCTAGTTCCCTGTTCTTCCCCCTTTTGTCCATCTTATAGAGAAGCGTTTTTTGTTTTTGTTTTTGTTTTTTTGTTTTTTACTAGACTGTACACTTACCCCAGCTATGCCCATGGATGGACACAAGTTGCAGATACAGAAGACAAAAAATAATGAAGTTTCTCTTGGGACTAAGAGCTTCAAATCAGAGTCTGGGTTTTAGATGATGGCCAGAGTCTACTGGTACTGCAGGTCCTGTTGTAGCTATTACTGCTGCTGCTACTGCTGGATTTTCTGCTGCCTAGGGTGTGAGAGAAAAGGAGGAAAAAGAAAAATGG